TTGTACAAATTGTTATTATATTCTATATATATTTTACTTGAAATGAAATGAAATATATTTCTTACATTACTATTATTTAATACCTCTTTTTTTGTACTCGCGATTTAAAGTCTTGTGCTTGTTAAAACAAAAAAATCTATAGATTTTAGAGTCTATAGATGTATATATTATAATCATTAAAAATGTCCAGTCTCATTTGAAACAATATTTTGAAAATGTATTATAAAAATTTATATGTACAACATTATTTAGATTTATATTCTTAAAATTTATGCATGAGCATGTATCATATGTAATATATTTTTAAAAATGCAGATCATTATAATGATTTACTACTAATTTTCTTATTAATTAGAATGTGTGAAAAATTCATAATTTTGTTTATTTATTTTAACAAATTTGCTCTGTATAAGTTTAGACTTTTCATTATTGTTTTAAAATATTATCCTGTTTAATACTATATATAATTGTTAGCTATCTTTTATTTTAATCAATTTTAATTTTTATCAAATAATGTTCTTTTCCTTATTCTGATAAATATAACTTAAATGAAAATTTGTATTACACAATATAGTTTTTAATTTTTTAATTTTATACTGTAGTACACCCTGCTATAATACTTTAGATAAAATTAAATCAAAATTCATAATTGTATATTACTTTTGAATGCATTAAAATATAAAATAATACGTATAAAATATAAAATATTATAAAATATTTGTTGTAAACAAATTACATTAGTTAAAAAGTAAATGAGTTACTGCAAAAATATAAATATTTCAGCATATATGACAATAACTGGAAATTTCTTGCATGATGCATGTGCTTGCTGAGTAATACTAACCATGTAGATTTAGAAATTTGTTAAAACGTGCAACATACACTTTTTATAATTTTGCATCAATTTTGATTTTGCTTTGGATAGAAGAGAGAATGCCGTTGCTGTACACGACTCAGGAAGTGCTGAACAACACTTTGCATCATATTAATCACCTACGTACACCTTCCTTATATCCTGTGCAACACGGCAATGTTCAGACTTCCTTATAATATTCCTGTGACACAAACTGTGCAGTTACTTAGCACAAATTTGTACGTGATATATGTTATGTTTCTGCAATGGATATCCATACAGTTATACAAATATCATCGAATAACTTCATTTATTTTCTTCTGGTTATTGTATTCAGGTGAGTTATTTTTGTGTCTATGTATGTATTTTTATATTTGATGTATATTAACAGTGTTATGTTATTATACTATTATTATTAGATTTGATGAAACAAAAGGATTCATTTAATATTATATTCGATGTACATTAATGTATAGGTTTTTAGTTACATTTATCTAAAATTATAGCTATATTAATATATATTAATATTAAATATATGTTACTATTAAAAATATGATATAAATTAAAGTACTTTCTAACTATGGAATTTAAAAAGAAATTCTTTTAGTAGCAACAAGTCATATTTTTATTCTGATACAATGTATTTAAAATTATTTGGTCTGTAACTGCTTTTTTTTTTAAATTTTTAATTTTTTGTGTATATATTTATTATGTTTAGATAATTTAAGTTTTATAAAATTTTGTCATAAAAACTATATTTTGTTGCAATTGTGTATAAACACATTTTACATCTTATAAATATATATATATATATCGTCATATTTCAAACATTTTAATTCAAATCAGTACATCATTATTTTAAGATAGTAAAATATGTTTACATTCTTACGTTGCAGCAGCAGGAGATCCAAATGCATGGAGATTGGGAAGAATTGAAGAGACTGATCATGAAACACCTGTTTAATGAAATGAATATTAGATGAATGTCATCCTCGACAGTCAATATAAAGCAACACCTGTCTTTTTACATAACGTGAAATAACGATGAAATATATTCGTCATGTCGAAAAATATGGCATGGTGTGCGTGGAACAATTAAACATTCTCTTGCCAATTAATAATTTTTCCCACTAGTCAAGTATAATTAACAATGAAAAAAAAAACATTTCATTGTTTATAGAATAATGGTTCCATCCTAGTTTATATAAAGTGATATATGACTAAACATTACTTTATGCTTCCAATATATTATTGAATACCACCGAAACTGATTTAAATATGGCTGTTTATAATTCACACTAATTTTCTTCTTAACATGCATATGTTTAGTATCGAACAAGTAAGACTTTACATGTGTAATAGAATGGAGATTGTTCAATCGCAGCGGCGTAACTTCTTTAATGACAGATCTGTGATTTATTGGAACTGGTAAAGCAAAAATTAGGGAGGCCTAAATACCAGATTGTTTCCCATACCCATATATAGTGCCTTTTTACTTGCATTTCATTTATTAATTTTTTAAGAAAAAATATACAATACTATTGTATACTAATTTACATATTCATTCAATATCTTTTAAGAAAATTGCTGGTGGAAATTTATATACTTTAAGTACAGTTTACGATTGTTTCTATATTTTCTACTTCAATGGGACCATTTTGAACTGGTCTTTATTTAGAAATTAAATGGTAGAAATATAATTTATTAAATGTAATATATGTGAAATTTGTTAATTTGTTAATCATTGCTAATGGTATAGCTACATTTTTCTTGCTATTAAACATCAATATAACAATTATTATTAATGTAATAAATCTTTATTAGATAGTGTTACAATAAAATTGACTTAAGTTATACTAATACAAAACATTTTCAAAATCTAATTCTTACTTCTTTGATTTATACATTTTTCACAATAAAATTGATGTAATTAAGTTATACTAATACAAAACGTTTTTAAAATCTAATTCTTACCTTTTTTGATTTATACATGTAATATCAATACAATTTATACATATATACGTATAATTTGTAAAATTTATACAGTTGAACATACTATGTAGATACAGTAATTTATTTTTACATTAAATTCGTTATTAGAATATTTTATGATAAAGCAAGGTTTTATTTTGAAATATGATCATTTTAATTTTTTGCTACTGTTTTTGCATTTTGTTAAATTTGATTACAATTATTGGAATTATGTTTTTTTTTTTCAATCTTATTACCATTTTATTTTGTTACTACTTTATTTGCAATTTCTGCCAGCAATTAATCGTTTTTGTCATCAAAACTATTGTTAAATAGTTTTGAGAGATTATTGTGCGAATCATATCATAAAACTAGATAATGGCGTTCAGATTAGAGAAGCAGGAAGTTACGCCAGAAAGCGCTGGATGATAATACAATTGTAACGTGAGCTATATTAATAAAATAATATTTATATTGATATACATTGTCGATAGAAAAATAAATGCATATAACTTTTAATGTTTAATATCGTAAAATTATCGAAAATCGTTACAACAATATTATAATCGCGATTACTGTTTCTTTGTTCAAAAGAACAAGATTATCTTTACATATAATTTATAAGTGGTAATTATGATTAGACTCAATTATTAGAATGAAACAAATTAAAAAAATTAATACGCACAGAGGAACAAAGAGAACATTAATGTAATTAATTAAAATTATTTTGAATGAATATAGTGAAAGTGTTATGTACCGAAATTTAAAGTAAATATCTCAGGTTTTAATGATTGGATACAGTTGTAGAAAAAAGAAACACAAAACAAAGGAAGTCTTTAAAGACAATTTGTTTAGTCTAGTGAAATGCATTATAAAATTTAAAATGTTGCTAATTGAATTCATGCCCAATTAAGGTTGTAATACATACTTTAAGAGGACTTTTTATATGTAAAATCATAGTTCTGAGCATATTCTATTTCAAATATTATAACTAGTTTAAAAGTTGAATAATAATTGTTCTATTGTATGTATAAAATACATCCTTGAAAATAATTTTATTGGATAACAAGATACTGATTTCTTTATTATTCTAGAAAATCACTATTCTTCTCAAGATGTTAAGTCGAAAAAAATGAGAATTATGCAATTTTATTTACTCTATTCATGTATATATATGAAGTGTAAATGATTTTGTTTTAATGAATGTAAATTATTCGTTACTCATCTTTGTTGTTTATTGTTTCAGATTGTTATCATTATGTGTAGACTTTTTAGTACATAGTTAGGTATTACAATGAAATATGAAAGAAATGAAAAAATTTAAATTACATTGAATACATTAATGAAAAATCTAATGACAAAAGAAATAAAGAAAATTAGTTTTAGAAAAAAATATCAAGTATCAAATTATTCCTGTTATCCCTTTTCATTTTTCTTTCTAATTTTATAATATACTTAATTAACTATTTTTTATTACTTGTAGAAAATTTTATTTAATTTCGAATTATAATAGAAAATGTATTACATAATAATACAATATTTGTACTTATAAATTATTTAATAAAAATATAATTGTAAAATGTTAGTTTTGCAAAATACTAAAAAGAATAAGAATAAATTTGTTTCTTATAGTTTTCTTCATTATAATTTATGTCTAATTTCTATGACTATTATTTATTCAAATTGTATATAGCAGTTACAATTTTTATATGATTAAAAATTAACTAAATAAATTTAATAATGTTTAATTAGAAAAATATATATTCATTACAATTAAAAAAATTCGAAGTTTTAAATCATAAAGAAGAAGCATTTTTTTATTTAACATGTAGATGTCGTAATAATAATGTATTTAATGTAATAATTAATTTATTCAAATTTGTAAATTATTAATGAAACAATAAAAATTATTACTTTACACGATAGAAGTCTTTCGTAAAATCCGTTATAAGATTCATGAATTTACAAAATAAGTGTATAATTATAAATGTAGTGAAATAATTACTATCATATTAAATAAAAAATTATAAGTTAAATAAGATAAGATAAATACAGAAGATAATAAAATTTGAGTAGTATTATGTTACTCATAAATTATGACTCATAATAAGACACAATATTTGAATAGTATTGCCCTGTATTCGCGAGTTGTCAAATGGTTATTTGATATCAAATAGTGATTTTTACTAGTGAATTAAATATTTAATAAAATGTCATCATTGGGAATGTACGAATTAACTCATCCCGAATCACTGTCAGAATCACAACTTAAGGAAATTTTAGAAAATGTAAGTGAAACAGGTTATGTTTATTGACAATTTCTCTTGATCAAATCTTGAAAACTTAATTCCTTTATAAATTAAAATATTACTTATTTAACTACAAATATATTTAATAGTATATAATGATCTTTCTTTTAATAACTTTTTATTATAATATAAAAGATGTTATAAAAATTAGTTGTAAATATATGAAATTTTAGAGATTTTGCAATTTCATAAATACAAAATTAAATATTCAAAATTGAGTAAATATACAATTATTAAAGTATTTTTTATAATGATATTAGTATTAATATTTATATTAATATTCTTCTTTAATTAATTTTTTTATAAAAAATACTTATTATTGACGCATATCAATTATTCATTCTTAATTTGTTTATAGAGGTGCATTGACTTCAGTGATTATAAACATTTCTCTAAATCTGACCTGATAGAACTATATAAACGGGTGGCTTTGCCATTGCCCCAGAGACAATCTGAAAACATTCAAAACTTTGATACAAAAGGATATAATGAGGAAATATATTCTACTAATGAATTTCATAGGAAGTTAGTTTTATTGTAAGTGAAAATATTTATTTTTATTTATTACAGAGTGAAGAAATGAATAGTTTGAATTATACGCAATATATGTATGATACATGAGTTTTATTTTGTTTTGTTTTAATTTAATATTGTCTTTTATAAATATGGTACTAAGTCTTTAAATGATAAATATTTAATAAAGAACTTAAAATAGGTTATCACCAGGGAGATATGTAACTAAGATATTTTATTTAGATGTTTTATTTTAATTATTTTTATACTTTTAATTTATATGCATGTATTAATATAACTTTTATATAATTTAAAAATAAATATATGTACATTTAAGAATTTATAATTTATAATTATTATATATAATTTTTATTTTTGTAATTTATACAAAGTATGTAGAAAGTAAATATAATAAACAAAAATACATAAATTTTTTATAGGACCAGTACATGTAGTACAAAAGCAAGTTTAAATGAAACAATAAAAACACCTGCAACTTCTTCTGTGAGATCAAAGTCCTCTATAAATGAATTTAAACAAACATCTAAGAAAATACGTTTGTGTAATTCAAATAATGTTCTAAAATATAATGGTATTGATAAACGTATTAGTGATGAAAAACATGATGTACGTATATGTATTAATTATTTGATCACTTAGTTTAATTCTTATATTTAAATAATCAATTTCCTTGGTATTTTGATTTATTATAAAAAATTTTATATTATATTGTTATTTTTGCAGATATTTAATATAAATTATACAAATATTTACTAAAATATAGATAAAAGATAATAACTATTGCATGATTACTATCTATAAGAAATTAATGTAAAAATTTTTATGTACTTAGGGAGCTTCACCGAAGAAGAAACAAAAGATTACATGGCCATAAGATTATACCATATTAAATTTTCATGGTACATAAAAAGTATTTTTTTGATAATGAATGCTTATTTAAATTAGTGGCTGTTATTGAATTCAGATATAGATTTCTATGAAATTTGTACTAAATAATATTATTAATAGAAATTTGTAAGGTAAATTTGCAAAACAAATGGTTATTTAGTATTAATTTTTATTAAATTATTAGAGGTATCTACTTCATTAGTTAAGAGTAATATAGAAGATCCATTCTATAAGTATTGATATATGTATTCATATTGTTGGACAAAAACAAGGTTGCTGAAATAATTTGAATATCCTGACAATATTTAAATTATTTATACTTCAGTGTAAGAAATTTTATACCTTCTTTTATTTCATTTGAAGTGTAAGCATTAATAAAGTAGAATATTATTGGAATCTGTTACTATCGCGTTTTAATCTACAAAAAAAAATACAACTACTACAATACTGGTTTAAGAAATAAGATAGAAAGTGCACGAATGATCATTTGGCAATATTCTATAGTTTACAGACTAACATCTTTTTACAAATATCCATTAGAAGACACTATGTCAGTTGTAATGTGTATTAGCTATTTGTTAATACTAAAATGAAAATATCTTGCAAACCAATAATTTTTTATAATAAGTGACTTAGTACTTTCATGTATAAAATTGGTACATTAAAAAATATATAATTCCATTTAAAACAGTAAAGTTGACCTTCATATATTCTTTATGTACCTACCTAGGAAAAACTTACCTATATCAGATTATGTGCCCCTTAAAACCATCAAACTTTTGTTTGAGCATTATTTTGTATTGTCAATAATTTCGGAGATATTCGGCTGAATCGATTTAAATAGAACACCCTGTATATACAGGCAGAGTTCAATGTAATAGTATCAACAATTTTTGCAAATATCTCGAAAACTAAGATTGAATAGCAATTATTACTCGAACAGAATTGTTCAAAATTTCGTTCTTTATAACACATTTTAAAATTATTGAGATCAGGGCATGCATTCTGCAGTTTTTCCATACCCTATATTTTTTGTAAAAAAATATCATTCTTGTTGATATTAAACTCACCATTTCTCGAAAAAAAGAGAGAAAAAGAAAAAAGTAAATCGAATGGGTAATTAAAGCAAATTTTTACCTAAAAAATTTTTAGTACAATACATTGAATTTTACTTATATGCATGCTTGTGGCAATGCATACGTCAGCCTGTGGTTGTCCTTTACCTACTGTACCTAGAAATATATATGTATATCGTGGCAGTCGGCAACCAATACGTATATGGGCAAACTAAAAAAAACACCCTCACTGAAGTAAATATGAATTTGGGTAAAATATAAAATTAATATGCGTCGGCAAGGGAGAAGTTTTGTCTCAACTTCTGTATCCACATCTTGAAAAATTTAACGTACATAACCTACTCTAATTTATGGTTAAATATAAAAAAAAGTTCAATTCGTATGATTTTTCAGAAAGCACTCATTACTGATCGGAACTATATATTAAAGGATAGCAGAGAGAAAGGGATAGAACCTAAATCTAAAATATTAGTTTTATGTATCTAATAGTTATCGAAATTTTAATGAAAAGCCTTCGTCATTATATATAGACATTTCTATATTTATACAAGAGGTTAAAACGACTAGCTTCTTTGAACTTGTAACCATCGAGCAATCGATGATGCGCACTAATATTAGACCTTGATTTGTATAAGCTTTTATAAACTTATCTTTTTTTCAAAGTTGTATTATGTAATTTTAAATAATAAATTTGGGATAGGTTTAGTTATACTTTTTGGGGTGAAAGGGAAAGCCGCCCATACATTCAAATGTATTTGAAAAAAAAATATAGATAGATTTTAAATGGGACATCCTATAAAATTGGCGTCAAATGTGAGTACACGTCATTAAATATTTGACACTCGAAAATGACTATTAGTACAGAGAAACAATCGTTTTAATTATGTTTGTATAGACAAATTTCCATGTACAATGTCAAGAATTTTTTTATTAATATGTAAAATTATTTATTTCCTGAAAATAATATTTTGCATTTAGTATATATCTCCCTGTTCCATCTTTTGATAAAAATTTGGAGTTGATTGGGCTGTTCTTCAGATTTCAAAGAACACCAGAAAAAATAACAAAACATTTGTTTTGCAGATATGTATGTATGTTAACCATAAAGTTGAAACAAGGAATTTTTTCGTCGCCATTCTCTAAGCAGTTATAACAATCTGAATTATTTCATTGTGTATGTATTATATAAGATAGTGATTAGGTTAGGTTAATTTATATTTTGTGAGGTGGCAGTGCAGTATATGATTAATATATCGGCTGTTGCCGACCATTGGTATATATTTCTAAATATAATAGGACAATCGGAGATTGATGCATACATTGTCATGGATGCGTACGTATAAGAAAAATTCAATGCATTGTATCAAAAGTTATTTACTAACATCTCGGAAACTAATGAATACCTGAAGTTCTAAAGTGCCCAAATTGTTGATCAAGATGAAATTTTAGGAAAGGAGGGGTACAGTAAACCTTAGATACCAAATTTCAATATTGCCTTTTTAGTATTTTCTAAGATATTAATTGAATTTTATGTAAATATATACATTTATGCCAATATTGCGTCAACTATGTAAGCCTGTGGCAGTGTATATGTGAAATCAACTTGAGCCCAAAGCTACTGCCCATTGCAGCGAGTGACTAACATTTTTGTAACATTTGTGATTTATGAGTAATTGCCAATTATAGTATAATGGGTGAATTTAAAATATGCATTTTCATACATTTTTCGGTACAGTGTTAAGCTTATATAATTTAGCAAAATGTGATACATAGTATGAATGCTGTTCGTAATTAAACTCAATATACCTTTAATGCAATCCGTCGATATCGCACTAATTCCTTTAATATGATAAACAAAAATAAAAATTCAGGCGACATCCAATCAGCACCATCTATGATTTTGAACTAGAAGTTCAGGAAAGGTAACAAGAGCGCAGATGCGCGAGGTGTCGTCAAACACTTTGGATGTCACAGACAGATACTGGTTAGAAAAGAACAGAGGTGCTTCGGTGCCGTGAAAATTAACAAATTACTCAATTTCGACGTGTCACGTTGACCTCCGCCCCATGGGGTAGAAATCAATTAAGAAATCATCCCTGGGGCTTAACGACAGGCCGATAAGCATAGGACGACTAAGGCTGACGAGAATGGCAGTGACTGAAATGAGTGTTGGAACGAGTCGTAAAGATGACTTACGAAGCATGGAATTGTTGAGTACACGAGAATATGTCGCGTAGGCTAGTCAATACTTAAAAATAATTATATTCTATTTGGCAAACGAGAGGGATAAGAGAGGAAAAATATGAAATGTATATGTTTGCTCCAAGTTAAGTGGCTTACCTTTATACAGGAAGCGTGCACATGAAACTTGTTAACCTAGAAATCTATCATGTAACTACTTATAAATAGGCGCACGCATCCGGCAACGTCCAACGGTCTTCTGAACGAATTCTTGAAAAACTTGAAAACCAGAAAGGAAACATATAATCCTGAAATGAAACAGATTTGTAAGGGGAAAGAAAATAAAAGAGAAATGAATATAAACCAGAAAAATCAATTAAATGGAGTGAACAACCCTGCAATGGGACATAAACAACACAAGACAGAGAAGACATAAACAAACCAATGACGAAATATTCGAATTTTCAAATAAAGATAAATAGAAACGAAAACATAAAATGTGGAAAAAGAAAAATAATTAAATCCTGAAAAAAATTAGATTTGAAAAAAGAATTATTAACAGTCCAACGATGATACATCGAATATTATACGAAATATTTGAATTCACAAAAAAAAATAAATAGAAACAAAAAAATAAAATCTGGAAAAGAAAAAATAATTAATACCTGAAAGAAAAAAATAATGAACACCTGAAAACAAAAAGAACTTATTATTAAAGTATTGAAGGGGATGGGGTGGCTAACCCCAACCTTACTTCGCCCTTCCCCCCCCCCCCC